AATTTGATGACTCAGGAGAAAGAGAGTGGCAGTGGCTGATGTCCTGGAGCAGGACATAAAAGAGGATAGACTCCAAGGCACAAATGGAGAGAATGACTTAGCTAGGAGCACGGACAGTTCCTCTAGAAAGGAAAAAGCTGGAGAAAGGGATCCCTTAAATCTGTGCATGAGCCAAGAGAAATCCCAGGCTCACTACCAAGTTGCACATGTACTTGGTAAAAAGAAAGCTTTGTAATGACTTTGGTAACTCAACTGTAATAAAAATCACCATCTGACTGTCAGACTTACCCCAGAGTGGCACGGGGTGGATTCAAAAAGTATAGCAAAGACTCTGAAAATGAACTGACACCACAACGACCACCCATAGCAGGTGAGACAGAACTTGTAGCCTGAACCTAATTCAGTTAATTGCCTGCTAAAATAAAATAATGACGATCCAGATAATTTAAGCAGGACTCAGAGTCCCACAATACAACAGTCAAGATGGCCAAGATACAATCCAAAAATACTTAACATACCAAGAACCAAAAAACTGATAAATGTTTAAGGGCAAAGAAAACATATAGATGTTAATCCCCAAATTACTTAGATGTTAGAATTATCTGACAAAAACTTTAAAGGAACTATTATAACCATCCTCCATGAGGTAAAAGTAAAATATCCTTGAAATAAATAGAAAGGTAGAAGTTCTTAGCAGAGAAATAGAAATTTTGAAAAAGAACAAAAGAGAAATTCTATGAAGTAAAAATATTTGCTGCAGGGGTTCAGTAGTAGGATGGAGATAATAGATGGATGAATGAGTGAATCCAAAGATAGATCAATAGAAATTATTCAATATGAAGATCACAGAGAAAAAAAAGATTTTAAAAATGAACAGTACAAAAAAAAAAAAAGAACAGTCCACAGACATACCAACCTGAATGCACCTAATCTTGGCTGATTTTTGAAGCTAGGCAGGGTCAAGCCTGGTTAGGATTTGGATGGGAAACCACCTGGGAATACTCGGTACTATAGGCTGTCAATTTTTTTTTTAATGATCAGACACCTACTATGTACTGACAAAATTTTTTAATAAAAAAAATTTAAAAACTAAATGAGAACAAATAAGAATAAAGAACATGACATTGGCCAGGAGTGGTGGCTCACACTTGTAATCCCAGTACTTTGGGAGGCCAAGGTGGTGGATCACCTGAAGTCATGAGTTTGAGACCAGACTGACCAACATGATGAAAGCCCATCTCTACTAAAAACACAAAATTAGCTGGATGTGGTGGCAATTGCCTATAATCCCAGCTACCTGGAAGGCTGATGCAGGAGAATTGCTTGAACCCAGGAGGCAGAGGTTGCAGTGAGCTGAGACTGCACCACCACACTCTAGCTAGAGTAACAGAGCAAGACTCTACCTCAAAAAAAAAAAAAAAAAAAAAGAAAGAAACATGACTATATATATATGTGTGTGTGTGTATATTTTCTTATGTATGTATGTGTGCATATATATATATACACACATATATAAGAAAGAAAGAACATGACTATATATATACACATATATATGTATATATGTGTATGTGTGTGTGTGTGTATATATATATATATATATATATATATATATATATATATATACACATATATGAAGTAGTCCAGGTGCAGTGACTCATGACTGTAAGCCCAAAACTTTGAGAAGCAGAGGTGGGCAGATTGCCTGAGTTCTGAGTTTAGGAGGTCAAGACCAGCCTGGGCAACATGGTGAGACTGTGTCTCTACTAAAAATACAAAATATTATCAGGATATGATAGCATGCATCTGTAGTGCCAGCTACTCAGGAGGCTGAGGCAGGAGAATCACTCACTCAGGAGGCAAAAGTTGCAATGAGCCAGGATCGGGCCACTGCACTCCAGCATGGGAAACAGAGCGAGACTGCCTCAAAAAAGAAAAGAAAAAAAAAAAAAGGAAAATTAGTAGAACCTCAGAAACGTGTGGAAAAATATCAAAAGGTCTAATATTTGTGTCATCAATACTTCTGAAACAGAGGAGAAAGAGACTGGTGTGGAAAAATATTTGAAGAAATGATGGCTGAAAACTTCAAGAATTTGATTAAACACATAAATTTACAGAGTTGAAAAGCTCAGTGAACCCCAAAAGCGTAAAAGCAATGAAAATCCCACCCACCCTAATGGGTTTGGGTGGGTGGATGTGTGGGTTTTCCTTCTGAAAACCAAAGATTAGAAAAAATAATGTTAAGGGTAGCAAGCAAAAAATGACATGTTACCTATGGGGGAACAATAATTCTTATGACTGCAGGTTTCTTATCAGAGACCATGGAAGCCAGAAGACAATGGAATAACACCTTTAAAGTGCTGAAAGAAAAGAACTGTCAACTTTAAATTTTCTATCTAGTGAATATTCCCTTTGAGAATAAAAGTGAAATAAAAAACATTCTCAGATTAAGAAAGCCTAAAATTATTTGTTTCCAGGAGACATGCTCTGAAAGAAATGCTAATAGAAGCCCAAGTGAAATGATACCAAAAAGAAATTTGGAACTACAGAAATGAAGGAAGAGCAACAGAATTGGTATATAGCTGGATAATGATAGGTTATTTTTCTCTCCTATGTAAAGTTATTTATGATCATTGAAAGAACATACCTCATTTTATTCATTTTATTGTGCTTTGTAGATATTGTGATTTTACAAATTGAAGGTTTGTGGGGCAAGTCTGTCAGTGCCATTTTTCCAATAGCATATGTTCACCTCCTGTCTCTTGTGTCACATTTTGGTAATTCTTTTTCAAGATATAAAAATTTCAAAAAGACAAAAATATTTCAAACCTTTTTTTTTTCTTTTGCAGAGACAAGGTCTCACTGTGTTGACCAGGCTGGTCTTTAACTCCTGGCCTCAAGCGATCCTCCCACCTTGGCCTCCCAAAGAGCTAGGATTACAGGTGTGAGCCACTGAATCCGACCCAAACTTTTTCATTATTATTATATATCTGTTGTGGTGATCTGTGATCAGTGATCTTTGATGTTACTATTGTAATTAATTGCTTTGGGGTATCACAAATCACACCTATATAAGATGGCAAACCTAGTTGATAAATGGAGTATGTGTCTGACTGCTCCTGATCAGCTATTCCCTCACCTTTCTCCCTCTTCTTGGCCCTCCCTATTCTGTGAGGCACAATACATTGAAATTAGGCCAATTAATACCCCTACAATGGCTTCCAAGTATTCAAGTAAAAGGAAGAGCCACACACACCTCTCACTTTAAATCAAAAGCCATAAATGATTAAGCTTAGTGAGGAATATATGTCAAAAGACTAGATAGATCAAAAGCTAGGCCTTTTACACCAAACAGCCAAGTCATAAATGCAAAGTAAAAGTTCTCAGAGGAAATTAAAAGTGCTACTCCAGTGAACATATGAATGATAAAGAGAAACAGATAGATCATATTCTGAATCATAAAATAAACGTTAACAATTTTTAATAAATTGAAACCACACAAAGCATGTTCTCTGGCTATACCAAACTTAAACAAGAAATCAGTAACAGAAAACTCCCCAAGCCTGACCAACATGGTGAAACCCAACCTCTATTAAAAATACAAAAATTAGTCAGGCGTGGTGGTGGGTGCCTGTAATCCCAGCTACTTAGGAGGCTGAGGCAGGAGAATCGCTTGAACCCAGGAGGCAGAGGTTGCAGTGAGCTGAGATCGTACCACTGTACTACAGTCTGGGTGACAGAACAAGACTCTGTCGCAAAAAGAAAAAAGAAAAAGAAAAAGAAAACTCCCAATTTGGGAATTGTTAGTATACTTCTAAATAACCCATGGGTCAGAGAGAAAATCTTAAAGGAAATCAGAAAATATTTGAACTGACGGAAAATGAAAACAAAACATATCAAAACCTATGGGCTGCAGCTAAAGCAGTGTGTACAGGAAAATGTACAGTTTTATATCCTATAACAGAAAAAAGAAAGACCTCAAATCATACTGAAAGCTTCTACCTTAAGAACTAGAAAAAGAACAAATTAAACCTAAATCAAGCAAAAGAAAAAAAATATAGAAAAACAGAATTCAATGAAATTGAAAACAGAAAAGAAATAGAGAAAAATCAATAAAACCAAAAGCTTTGAAAAGGTGTATAAATTGATAAACTTTTTGACAGACTTACCAAGGGAAAAAAAAGAGAGAAGATATAAATTACTAACATAAGGAATGAAAGAGGGGATGTCACTTCAGACCCTCCAGATATTAAAAGGATAAATAAGAGAATATTACAAACAACTCTATGCTCATAAATTTGACAACTTAGATGAAAATGAACCAATTTCTTGAAAGACACAAATTACCAAAATTCAGTCAATAAGAAATAGAGAAGAGAAATAGTCCTAGATGTACTAAAGAAAACTGAATCCATAGTTTAAAACCTTCCAATGTAGAGAAGAAAACTCCAGGCCCCAGGTGGTTTTTTTTCTTTCCCTCCCTCCCTCCCTCCCTCCCTCCCTTCTTTCTTCCTTCCCTCCCTTCCTTCCTCTCTCTCTTTTTTCTTTTCTTTCTGGCAGGAACTCACTCCTGTTATTCAGGCTGGAGGATAGTGGTGCAATCACGGCTCACTGCAGCCAAGACTTCCACACAAGCTAATTTTTTGTATTTTTAGTAGAGATGGAGTTTCACAATGTTGCCCAGGCTAGTCTCAAACTCCTGGCTCAAGCAATCCACCTGCCTTAGCTTCCTTCTGGGATTAAAGACATGAGCCACCGGGCCTGGCCCCGGATGGTTTCACTGGAAAATTCTACCAAACATTAAAGAAAGAAATAGTACCAATTCCACATAAACTCTTTCAAAAAATCAAAAAGAAGTAACTCATTTTATGAGGTCAGCCTGGACCTGATGCCAAAATTTGAAAAAGATAACAAGAAAACTGTAACAATACTTGACCACACCTTCCATGTGCCTCATAGTCTCAAACTCTCGCTTGGGATCTCCAGCCTCATCATGGCTCAAAATGGACTGTAACTGTTCCCACGTCACTGGTGACTCCTGCAGCTGCCCCAGCTTCTGCATCATCTGCAACTGCAAAGAGCGCAAATGCACCTCCTGCAAGAAGAGCTGCAGCTCCTGCTGCCCTGTGGGCTGTGCCAAGTGTGCCCAGGGCTGCGCCTGCACAGGGGCATTGGAGAAGTGTAGCTGCCATGTCTGATGTGGGGACAGTTCTGCTCCCAGATGTAAATAAACCAAATGCACAAACTTGAATTTTTTAAAAATACGACCCTGAGCCATTATAAAAGCAACGTAACAAAATACCTTAGACTAGGAAAAAAAAAAGCAACAACAATACTTCACATGAACATACACCCCAAAACTTCAACAATCTATTAGCAAATGGAATCCAGAAATATATCGTTTCTTAAAATAATACCTCACTATTAAGTGGAGTTTATCTCAGGTAATTTAATGGTGGCGTAACATTCAAAAATAGCCAGGCACGGTAGCTCATGCCTGTAATCCCAGTACTTTGGGAGGCTGAGGTGGGTGGATCACCTGATGTCAGTGGTTTGAGACCAGCCTGGCCAACAAGGTGAAACCCCATCTCTGCTAAAAAATTAGCCAGGCATGGTGGTATGTGCTGGTAGTTCCAGCTACTTGGGAGGCTGAGGCAGGAGAATTGCTTAAACTCGGGAGGTAGAGGTTGCAGTGAGTCGAGATCATGCCACTGCACTCCAGCTTGGGGTACAGAGCAAGACTTCATCTCAAAATAATAATAATAATAACAAATGAGCATAATTCACCATATTGGCAGACTAATATGAGCAATTGGAAAACAAAACTAAACATCATTTACAGTAGTTCTAAAATAATGAAATACTTTAAGGATAAATCTAGCAAAATATGTGCAGAATCTTTACACTGAAAACTACAAAACACTGATGAAAGAAATCAAGGAAGAGCTAAATAAATGGAGAGCTATAACATGTTTACTGACTGGAAGGCTCAATTTTGTTAAGATATCAGCTCTCCCCCGATTGATATGAAGATTCACACAATCCCGATAAAAATTCTAGCAGGATTTTTTTGTAGATATTAACAAGTTGATTCTAAAATTTACACAGAAAGGCAAAGGAACTAGAAAGCTAAAACAATCTTGGAAAAGTAGAACAATGTTGGAGAATGCACACTATCTGACTTCAAGACATATTATACCGATATACGAATAAAGAACTACAGTCTCGGCAAAAGGATAGACACATAGATTAATAGAATAGAGTCCAGAAACAGAGTGACACCAAAATGCCCAATTGATTTTTCTACAAAGATCCAAAGGCAATTCAATGGAAAAAGGTTGTCTTTTTAAGAAATGATGCTAGCCGGATGCAGTGGCTCACGCCTGTAATCCCAGCACTTTAGGAGGCCAAAGCAGGCAGATCACCAGGTCAGGAGTTTGAGACCAGCCTGGCCAACATAGTGAAACCCCATCTCTACTAAAAATACAAAAATTAGTTGGGGGTGGTGGTGGGTGCCTATAATCCCAGCTACTCAGGAGGCAGAGGCCGGAGAATCACCTGAGCCTGGGAGGTGGAGGTTGCAGTGAGCCAAGATCATGCCACTGCACTCCAGCCTGGATGACACAGCAAGACTCAGTCTCAAAAAATAAAAATAAATAAAATAAATGGTGCTGGATGGGCCAGGTGTGGTGGGTCATGCCTGTAATCCTAGCACTTTGGAAGGCCAAGGTGGGCAGATCACCTGAGGTCAGTAGGTTCAAGACCAGCCTGGCCAAATCAGTGAAACTCCATCTCTACTAAAAATACAAAAATTAGCCTGACATGGTGGCACATGCCTGTAATCCCAGCTACTATGGGAGGGACAAAGTGCAGTGTACTGGAGTGCAGTGGCATGATATTAGCTCTCTGCAACCTCTACCTCCTGAGTTTAAGCAATTCTCCTGCCTCAGCCTCCCAAGTAGCTGGAACTACCAGCGCATACCACCACCATACCACTCTGGAGGCTGAGGCAGGAGAATTGCTTGAACCCAGGAGGCAGAGGTTGCAGTGAGCCGAGATGGTGCCACTGCAGGTGCCTGGGCAGGTGATAGAGCGAGACTCTGTCTAAAAAAAAAAAAAAGATGCTGGAAAAATGGGACTTTCATAGGCAAAAATGTAAACCTTGACCTATACCACATACCTTCTATTTAAAAAATTTAGTTGAAGTGGATCATAGACCTAAATATAAACTCATGAAACTTTTAGAAAAAAGCATAGAAGAAAATGATGATAGACTGGACAGGGAAAATGTGGCACATATACACCACGGATATTACGCAGCCATCAAAAACGATGAGTTCATATCCTTTGTAGGACATGGATGAACCTGGAAACCATCATTCTCAGCAAACTGACACAAGAGCAGAAAATCAAACACCGCATGTTCTCACTCATAGGCTGGTGTTGAACAATGAGAACACATGGACACAGGGAGGGGAGCACTACACACTGGGGTCAGTTGTGGGGAAATGGGGGAGGGGCAGTGGGGGATGGGGAGTTGGGGAGAGAGAGCATGGAGAGAAATGCCAGATATAGGTGAAGGGGAGGAAGGCAGCAAATCGCACTGCCATGTGTGTACCTATGCAACAATCTTGCATGTTCTTCACATGTACCCCAAAACCTAAAATGCAATAAAAAAAAAAAAAAAAAAGAAAAACCTTTGTCACTTTGGGTTAGGCAGAGTTCTTAGATGCAACATTAAAGTACAGCTCATAAAAGGAAAATTTAATAAATTAGATTTCATCAAAACTAAATTTTTTTTGTCAAAAGGCATTGACAAGAAATAACCTTGGAGAAAATATTTGCAAATAACTTCTTTTTTTTTTTTTTTTTTTTTTTGAGATGGGGATTTGCTCTTGTGGCCCAGGCTGAAGTGCAATGGTGCGATCTCTGCTCACTGCAAACTCCTCCTCCCGGGTTCAAGTGTCTCCTGCCTCAGCCTCCCCAGTAGCTGGGATTACAGGTGTCCACCACCCTGCCTGGCTAATTTTTATATTTTTAGTAGAGATGGAGTTTCACCGTGTTGGCCAGGCTGGTCTTGAACTCCTGACCTCAGGTGATCCCTCCCAAACTTGGCCTCCCAAAGTCCTGGGATTACAAGTGTGAGCCACTTCAACCTTGGCCTCCCAAAGTGCTGGATTACAGGTGTGAGCCACTGCGCCCAGCCACAAATCACATTTCTAACAAAGGACTTGAATACACAATTTATTTTTAAATATGTTTTCTAATTTTTATTTTATTTTATTTGTGATAGAGACAGGATCTTGCTATGTTGCCCAGGCTGGTCTCAAACTTCTAACCTCAAGTGATCCCCCTGCTCAGCCTCCCAAAGCACTAGGACTACAGGCATCAGCCACTGTGCCTGGCCTAGAATTTATGAAGAACTCTCAAAACTCAGAAATAATGAACAATTTTTTTAAAAGGCAAAAGTTTTGAACAGGCACTTCTCCAGAGAAGATATATGGACAGCAAATAAATATTTGAAAATATACTCAACATCATTTGTCAGTAGGGAATTGCAAATTAAAACCACAGTAAGGTATGTCTATATACCTGTTAAAGTTGAAAAAAATCCCTGACAATACCAGTTGCTGGTGAGAAGGCAGAATAACTGCCACTCTCATATATTGCTGGTGGGAGTACAAAATGGTACAGCCCCTCTAGGTTTCTTATAAAGTTAAACCCATACTTACCATAGAATCCAATAATCCCTCCTAGAAATTTGCCTATAAAATGAAAATTTATGTTCACACCAAAACCTGTATGTGAATGTTTACGGAAGCATTATTCATAATTGCCCAAACTAGAAACAACCTAAATATTCCTTAACTGGGAAATGGAGTAACAAACTCTGGTACATCCATACAATAGAATACTACTCAACAATGAAAAGGAATTAACTATTGACACATGCAGTGACATGAATGAATCTTAAATCCATTATGCCAAGTGAAAGAAGCCAAATTTGGCTGGGAGTGGTGGCTCATGCCTCTAATCCCAGCACTTTGGGAGGCAGAGGTGGGTGGATAACCTGAGGTCAGGAGTTCGAGACCAGCCTGACCAACAAGGTGAAACCCTGTCTCTACTAAAAATACAAAAATTAGTCGGACATAGTAGTGTGTACCTGTTGTCCCAGCTACTCAGGAGGCTTAGACCAGAGAATTGCTTGAACCCAGGAGGCAGAGGTTGCAATGAGCTGAGATTGTGCCACTGCATTCCAGCCTGGGCGATGGAGCAAGATTTCGTCTAAAAAAAAAAAAAAAAAGCCAAATTCAAAATACTACATATTGTATGGCTTTATTTTATATGACAGTCTGGAAAAGACGAAACTATAGGCATAGAGAACATATCAGTGTTGCCAGGGCTTACGGTTGGGGAAGGCTTTGACTACAAAGGGGTAACAAAAGGAAATTTGAGGAGGTGATTAACTGTTTTTTGTGTGTATGGTGGTGGTTATATGATTCTTTGCATTTGTCAAAACTCACAAAACTGTACACCAAAATGTGAATTTTACTGAATATAAATTGCAATTAAATTATATATATTTGCATATCTATTATGTGTATGTGTGTGTATATATATAGATATATAGATATATATATATATGAACACTTTTAAAAAGTTTTTTTTCCCTTCATATCACTATCATGTCACATCTCACTGATTTTCTATTTTACAATTATTCTTTCCTAAGCCTGAAATTAGTTAGGACTGTCTTTTTTTTTTTTTTTTTTTGAGATGGAGTTCTGTTTTTTTTTTTGAGACGGAGTTCTCCAGCCCAGGCTGGAGCGCAGTGGTGTGATCTCGGCTCACTGCAACCTCTGCCTCCCAGGTTCAAGTGATTCTCTGGCCTCAGCCTCCTGAGTAGCTGGGACTACAGGCGCACATCAACACGCCTGGCTAATTTTTGTATTTTTAGTAGAGATGGGGTTTCAACACGTTGGCCAGGTGGTCTTGAACTCCTGACCTCAGGTGATCCGCCCACCTCAGCTTCCCAAAGTGCTAGGATTTCAGGAGTGAGCCACAGGGCCCGGCCAAGTTATGACTGTCTTCATTTCTATTAACCTTCCATTTCCTCTCCTTCCACAAATCCTAAACTTTATTATTTGGAACTTATAATTTCTGAGTAAGTTATTCCTTCTGTCTCAAGAAGGCCCAA